ACACGTGAATGTTTCTAAAGATGGAGTCACGTTAACAGTTCCTCTTCTTCTCTGGACTCAGTGCTGTTAACACTTCCTGTTTCTTCACTTCATCAGAAGATGGTGAAACTGAAGTCAGTATTGATCCATCAGACGCATCGAGGCCGTTCACTGCAGATCAAGTGACAGTTTACTAGATGAAGCTTTTATTGTGAAGAGCAGACTCTTCCTGCACCAGTTAACCTCAAACAGAGTTAAAGTGTTTCATGAGTCTGATGAGAAGCTTCCTGCTTCATTCTGCTCCTCTCAGAGAGCTGGTTGAGCATCTAAGATTTAATATGTTAGTGCTCATCAAGATATATATACAGTATATATTATATATAGATATAATACTTAAACTGATGAGACTAACATATTACTGTTATTAAAGATGCTAACAGGCATCATTGTGAATATAATCCAGTTCATCTTTATTTATGTATTGTTTGTACCTTTTATTTTGAAAAACCAGACGTAGTGTGTCCTTCCTCTAACTTTAGTCAGTTTGAAAATATTGACGATGAAGTGAAGTGTGCTCATTTACATTTATTATTATTTATAATTATTAGTGTAATGTGTGGAAAATACACAATATTACAATAGTGACTGTTGCATGCTGGGTAATGAGAGAGAGAAGGACATTTACTTCAGTCTGTTTTATTTCTTCATTTACAGACAAAGAAACAATTTAACCAAAGAATGAAGTTTAACACATGAAGGAGCTCCTGATGATCCTGGTCCTGGTCTCACTGGTTTGTCGTTACAGGCTGGTGGTCTTACTGGCGTCCACCTTCAGGTCTTTGCCGACCAGTCCGGAGGTGACCGGGTGCATCGCGGCTCTGTGAGCCACAAACACTCGAACCGCTTCCTCGCGATACTTTTCATAGTTGAAGACCTCTCTGGAGACAAAGTACAAGTACACAAGAGTCACAGACAGAACTGCTTTGAACACATATTGTATGTACCGAGCGTGTAGAAGTACCTGAAGAGCGGCCTGGTGTACTTCATCCTGCCCTGCTCGGTCGCCATCTTCAGCGCCATGGGGACTGCTTCCTCCCACCTGGACCGCACACACAACCGGAGCCACCTGGAGGGAGAAGGGCCAATCAGGGGGCTTCCAGGAAAGAGAGTTTCAAAAGAAAGACCTGATCCAGGACTCTTACCTGAAGCGGATCTCTGAGTTCATGATGGCGTTGAGATCATACACCTCCTGCATTTTCTTCACATGAGTCAGAGGAAGAGCATCCTGAAGGAACAAACACGTGAAGTGGACTGTGGTGAACTGAAGTGAAGTAGACTGTGGTGAACT